GATTTAGCTATTAATAAAAATGTATAATACTCAGAAATAGAAAAGTGACAATGTCTTAACACAAATTGTTTTGAAAATTGCCATAAGGGGAATATACTTATTATAAATTCTAAGAAGCTCTTTATTTTTATCATAATAAACGCCTTAACTCACCACAATAATATATTAATACACAGAAATACTCACGGATAACATTGCATCAATTCTCAGAAATGTGATCAAGTGTGACTATAGACACTTTATAATTATTCTAATTACTTTGGAGTACAATAAAGTAACTAAACAAATGTTTATAAAGTCAAAACCTACCACAAAAACCAAGTTCTACAAACTGTCTGGGATAGCAAATCAAAACACTAAATGCAATATCAACAACAAGTTCCCGACCGAGTAACTAAATGAATGTTATAGTCAACAATAATCCAGTGACCTGAATACCCTTTGTTTATTATTATTTGCAACAGCTTAAATATTGGATTTTAAGGCCTATTTGGCATTGTTTAAACTTAAGATCAGGCCAGTATTATTTTTAACCTGACCTCCATAGCTCCACAGTGCGCCTTTCTCAGTCGGTTTTTCCTTTTATTTATGTATCTTTAAACAAACTTTGCTCCGACGAACTGCATAAAACGCAATTAACTTTATTTGACTTGTGCCAAGTTTATATTCGCCGTGATTTTCAGAACTTTTAACAGTCAGCAAGTATGCTGAATAATAAAATTATGAGAAACAGAAAGAGATCGCCACTGCAAATGGTTATTATTATTCCCCAGTGCAAATGAAAGGCATCCATCCATCAGACGTCGTGCATCTATATGATATACGTATGTGGTATATACATATATATAAACATACATATATCTTCTCAGTCACTGGACAGTTGGCGGCATCGCATCGTCAAATAGAAAGTTTTATGTACCGCGAGTATTATGTAAAATATTTTTCGCCTTTTTTCACGCACTTTTTTCAGTTGCATCTGCAACTTACATATGTCTGCGAAACCGCCAAAGAGCCGGGCTAAGAGCCAACAGGTTTGGCCACAACTTTTATTCAGCCAGACTTTAATTGTGGCCGACTTGGCGGCTGTCTGCGGCTACGTCTGAGGCTGTACACTAGAAAGAAATCTTAGCTACTTAAATGGTTAATTATTCTTATTATTTAATAATTTAATTTGCCTAAAAACGAACCATTTTTGCTTACTTAAGGAGATCCATGGTGTTGTATTTATATTATAAACACAAATGAAAGATACAAAAAAGAAACATATGGTTTTCAGAGCCTTAATAAGTAATGAAATAATTAATAAAATATTTTCAGTTAATTAATATTCTTAATTATCAAAAAATAAGTAAAACTATCATAATTCATCTCCCTGTATTGGCCATAATTTCCCGTGTGAAATCTTTTAGTCTCGGGCCTGTCTGCTCTACAGCTGTCACAATTTCACTTTGGCCAGACGTATTTAGGAGCAGTCGGTGCAGTAGATGGATGCTGTGGAAATTGCTGCTAAAAGTGGTAGTTAAAACATCGGCAAATACACTTTCCTTTGCGATCCACTTGAGGTGGAGAGCGGCCTGCGAACGAGGTGCTAAGAGATCGCTTTGAGTGGAGTGTTGCCTCCTCTGGTTTGGGAAAGTGTGTATTTGAAAAGTATTTGGAAACTTGGAGAGATATTGCAATATTTGCAAAGTCATTGAGATCTGAAAGTACATATACACAACACTGTTTTACAACGCTTTAGTTACTAGAACCACTTAGATGTACGAAGATCAGGCTCTTAATTGTTATAATACTCCTATAAAGCAGAAGAATCGTGAAAAGTAGTCCAGTACTCAAAATGTTTACTTCCCCCACACATTTCCCGTTTTGATATAATGAAAAAAGAAAAGTTCAATCCAATAAAACAATGTAAATATTTAAAAAACTATCTGGTATTTTCCACACACTGGCCATGTGCCCCGACCATGCAAGGCATGCACTTGTGTACATATGTGTGTTGCCAGCCAGAGAGTTTTGTACTTTTCCAAAAAAATTTCCCTACACTGCGCGCCCCCGGGAAAATTCTTTTCATTCCTTTTTCCGCCCGAATTTCAGTGTTCCTTCACGCTCGTAACGCCACGGCATGCAATATGTCGGTGTCTGCACTTTTCACTGGAGCGAAGAATTTTCCGCCCTCCGAAATCGATTTCGAGCAATAAAGGCATCCATCAGTGGCTGTAGTTATATATCTGTTTGATTTATATCGTCTGGCATATTTTCAATATTTATTCCTCGGTTATCCAAATTTAGAAATCCGAATGCCGCAGCTCCTTGAGAAAGATATTCCTCAAATACATGTTTTATGAGCTGTTTATTTGTGATGGCTTCATTATTATTTTTTTGCATCCTAAAGTTCCAAAAGTTCGATTTTTGGAGGCATCTTGGTGTTGAGTTTGTTTGCACCCGGGTATTATGGGTCCATAAAAGTGCCTTAAACATTTCGGGAAATTCTTTTGGGTGGGCAATCCCTCAATTGTTTGGTTTTTCGGGCATTATTTCCAAAGAACTTTTGGAATTTGGTTGGAATGGTGGGACTCATTTCCTAAGAAATCTGGCTCATTGATGCGTTTTTTTTTCGTCGTCTCTGGCAATTATCAATAATAAGGTTCTCCATTCTCATTTTCATTCTCCTGTCAAGTTTTTATTTCTTTTGTTTTTCCCACCACTTCAAATCTTATATAATCGCATTGCCTGTGCTGAATCATTCGACCTACGTAATCGAGAAACCGATTTGTGTGCAAAGCAAAGATTCATTAATTACAATGTCGAGATTCATATTTTGATTTGCACGTGTAATGCTAGCCCTCCCACCTCGGAACAGGTGTACAGGCCACCCAACAACGCCCACCTAGAGTATTGGGTCAAAACAATAGCACAGAGAATGGAAAATAAAAAATACACATTTTTTCAATATTTATTTTAGGTGTAAAATTGTTTAGAGAAATTAAGCAAGCTTGAATATTTTAAATTATATTTTTAAGAACCCCTTTATTTGCAAGTAAGGGTTGTACAATCCATAATTCATATTTAAATTGTTTGATTCAAATTTTAAGTCATTAAAATTAGGAAAGTGTTATAAAAACCCCAAAACCAATGAAAATTCAAATTCATTTTAAGAAAACAATATAATTTTAGATAGTTTCAAGATTTCAAGATGATTAAAAAACTAAAGTAAATTCGTAAAAAGTTCGTTTGAATAAAATTAATAATTATTATAAAGGCATAATAAAAAAGAAGGTATTTTAAGAAATTAAGAAATTTTAATATAAAATCGACAATTAAATTTATTCGAAGTAAAAATAATTAATTTTTTAAATGAAAAGAATTTCAAGCAATAAATGCTCTTTCAAAAACAAAACAATATAGTTGCAGATTGGGTTTTATTCTTTCTTTATTTAAATTGCATTTCAAATTCTATTATTTTGACCGCTGCTGTATTACAGATTCGCTGACTATAATCTTTTGCCAAGTTTTTCTTTTTTCTAGGGATTTTGTTTAGTTTTCTGGGGAGGCGCAACGCACGTGGCCAATGATTGTGGCCGAGAGTTCAATAATCTGTTCACTTTTGCTTTATTACATTGAAAATCACGGCTAATTATTGTTTGGCCCGATCGGGAACATCCACACACATGGAAAACGTGCTGAAAAACTAAAAGCAGCTGCGGAAAGCAGAAACTTTTCCCACTCCCCCATGCCGCGGCGCGCCGTCGTCTTTTCGTATTGGAAATGATTGCGTTTCGGTTTTTGATTTATCAGACAAATCAATTTGTAGCCGTTTTGTTGTTTTGGCATGCCATGGAAAACAAAAAGGAGAAAACGCAACGCAACGAGTCGAATAGAAAAGAAAAGAAAATTTTCTTGGCCTTAAGTGTATCTGGGCAGAAGAGTGTGTTTACGGGTAATCTGAGAGCCTCACACGCTCCGTGTTTCCTTTCCCGTCATTCACTCACTCAGTCACTCGCTCACAGTCGCAGTCACAGTCACAGTGAGTCGGACGTTAGCCCAATTAAAAATTCAAGGTTGAGAAAATCTCAACTGGGCGGGGGGTAAGCCAACACCCCGTCCGTCCGTGTTATGATTACCAGGTAGCAGTGCAAGCGCTTGCAAGCTCAGCTTGGTTTGGTAACCTCAAAACGTGCTCGACAGTGAAAAAAGTAATTATTTGCAGGTCGCCCCATCCCTACGCCCCTTAAATGCTCCACAGTTGAGTTTAAAATAGTAGCACTACAGAGATGCTGGGCAAAAAATCATTAAATGCTGGGTAAAATATATTGTGGAAAGGGGTTTCTAAACTAGAAATATGCATAAATATTCTCTATAAAGTACACATTTAGTTGTGTATGTATTTCGAATAGATAAAATCAGATATGCTTTATAATATTATCTCAAAAATATCAAAACGTGATAATTTATAAAATGTAGCATTTAATGATAACGTTTTCGGTAAAATCGAAAAATTGTTGAATATATTTAATTTATTTACTTTTCTTCATATACTATACCTCCAACAGTTGCATTATTTTCAATATTTTTACCACAATTAGAGTTAGATATTTTAAACAGAATATCGTTGTGTCACAACGTTAAAGTAGGAATTAACTTTTGCACAAATATTAATACATTATTGATATATTTTCTGACATCCCAGTATAACAATGCATTTTAAAATTTATTTGAATGCTTTATCAACTATTTGGAACCTACTTATATTTCCTTCTACAATTCTTGAAGCCAAATAATTTAATTAAATTGAAAACACAAGATAAATAATAAAGTTAGCTCTATTATATTACCCTTGACTGTGTGTGTGTTATCCACGTATGGGCAAAGTCAATCACTTTGGCCATATCGCTGGCAAACACTTTAATGGGGCATATGCCACGTTGTTCAAGAATGCTGTTTGCGGTCTGCTCGATTCATTCAATAATCCGATACCCTCCATTACCATTACCACCTTTCAGGCACCGGCACCTTCGGACGTGTGTGCCTCTGTCGCGATCGCATTTCGGAGAAGTATTGTGCCATGAAGATTCTGGCCATGACCGAAGTCATTCGTCTCAAGCAGATCGAGCACGTGAAGAACGAGCGGAATATATTGCGCGAGATTCGACATCCGTTTGTCATCAGTCTGTAAGTAGAACAATATGGCGAATATGTCATATTTTTTCAAAAAATATATATTCGAATGTCTGGAGAAGAATTTTTATTTAATTATTAATTTACTTTCTCTCAGGGAATGGTCCACCAAGGATGAGTCAAATTTGTACATGATCTTCGATTATGTCTGCGGCGGCGAGCTTTTCACATACCTGCGAAATGCAGGAAAATTCACTAGTCAAACTTGTGAGTAAATAATAGATATATTCTAAGATATTACAAATTTAACTATGTATATATTAATTGTTCAGCCAATTTCTATGCGGCTGAGATAGTCAGTGCCCTGGAATACCTGCACTCCCTGCAAGTCGTGTACCGCGACCTGAAGCCGGAAAACCTTTTGATTAATAGAGATGGCCATTTGAAAATCACAGACTTTGGCTTTGCCAAAAAGCTAAGGGATCGCACCTGGACTCTGTGCGGCACACCCGAGTATATAGCACCTGAGATTATCCAGTCCAAGGGTCACAACAAGGCCGTGGATTGGTGGGCTTTGGGTGGGTTGTCTTGCCTTTAATTATTTTAAATTATTTTATTAATGGATTTATTAATTTTAACAGGAGTTCTCATCTACGAAATGTTGGTAGGCTATCCTCCTTTCTACGATGAGCAGCCCTTTGGCATATATGAGAAGATTTTGAGCGGAAAAATCGAATGGGAACGTCATATGGATCCCATTGCTAAAGACTTGATCAAAAAGCTTCTGGTGAATGATAGAACCAAGCGACTGGGCAACATGAAGGTGAGAATTATGGGAAATCAGTGGGGGAATTTTATAAAAAAAATAAACAATAATTGGTAAAACATTAAATGAGTTTAGTTGGTAAAATAATCATCAAGGTGTAATCAGATCAATTGTTTGTTTCAATCGTAAAGTATTCTAAAATAATGAAAAATAATTTAAGATCTTATACATTGAAAGCTTAACAGTTCTTAAATATTTCTTTTATGTTTAAGACAATAATTTTCTGGTTTTCCTTTACTGAGAATTATAAATGATTAATGATGACAACTTTAAGCTTTTATGAATAAGATTATTGAATCATCTCATAACTTTAAACGCTCTTAAAGATCAAACATATAACTTATAGTAAATAAATAAACATAAACTCTTTTGCAGCATAAAGTTTATTCAGATGTTGAAATATCTATACAGTTTTCCATTTACTAAAATTAGCCAATTTTTTCACATTTCCAAACTGACAAAGTTTATTTATCTCTGCTGCTCGCTGCCTATTCCCCAGATACATAGTTCAACATACAATTTTGGCAAGCTTGTTCGTTAATATTTTTTGGCTTATTAGGCGCGATATTAATAGATAATTGTTTACACTTGTCACAGTTGGACGGTCGGATTTTGTGGGCTGGCATTAAAAATTGCATCGCATATATCAAAAATTAATTGTTGGCCATCGCGAATAGATCTGCACATGCCCCTTGTCAGTTAGGTTAATACATTTTGCTCTGAAATCATTTTTCTTTTTCTCGCCAACGAATTTGATTCTTATTTCTTTTTTTAATAGACTTGTCGCGGGTTTTTGCAACGCAAGCTATATAGCCAAAGGCAAATGCAGAGAGCGTTATTTATGTCTAATATTAATCTGTTTTTTCTTCTAAATTTTCTTCTATATTTTCCGGAACACCCGCAGAATGGTGCCGATGACGTGAAGAGGCATCGCTGGTTCAAGCACTTGAATTGGAATGACGTCTACAACAAGAAACTTAAGGTGAGTTCAAGGGGTTCTCTTTTAGGTTGATTTTTTATTTCAACTAGTTATAATTAACAATTATGGCACATATACTTTGTGTGGACACACACGCGTCGCCCATATGACTTTGGCTGACTTTTTGTCTTTCGGCCAGCGCATTTTCATACGTTCTCGTAATTAAACGCAAATAAACAAATCAGTTTGCCCAATTAGCTGTGTGCCTTTAGTTAATGACCGCAGCGTCTATTTCGGCCGTCCGGGTGGGTGTTAGACCCATAAATCTCCCGGATCCGGATCCCTCCCAGTCAGCCCAGCTGCTCCGAAGGCGAGTGCTAGTGAAATGTAACAAAAGGGGGGCATTTCGCATCTGAAGAAGGCGTTAATTGCCCACATGAACGCCCCCACTTAGAACACATTTTGGGAGACAATGGGTTAAGTGCGTCAGAAATGACTGTTATAAGTGCTCCGATTTTTTGCATATATGTTTCTTAAGACTAAATAGATGGTAGCAAAAGCAGAGTGTTCTCCTTATGTTCTGATGTTTTCCACAACTTTACTAAGACAAAGGACACAAAGGCATCAAATTTTTGGACCTCATTAAAATACCCTTAAAGCAATTAAATTAATAATCATTATTATATATTTATCTATCTCACACAGCCACCAATTTTGCCCGATGTACATCACGATGGGGACACGAAGAACTTTGATGATTATCCCGAAAAGGATTGGAAACCCGCCAAGGCAGTAGACCAAAGAGATTTGCAGTACTTCAATGATTTCTAAATATTAGAGAAAGAAATTTTGTTTTTCTTTTGTTGTTTTCTGTTGAAAATTGTTATAATTTTGCGGCAGCAAGAACATTCATTATTTATACTGGCAATTAAGTGTTTAAAGTGCTGTGCTAATGCAATGATATGTAACGGTACATACATACATACATATATTTATATTTATATATAAACTATATTATAATGATATATAATATACGGCTAAACATACACACATAAATAGTAGGTCTAAGTATACATATAACTAGCAAGCGACGTCTATAATTATTTATATAAATATACTATACATAATTGTTTAAATGTTCAAACTGCGAGCAAACAAAACCCCTCTCACCCGAACAACAACAAATACCTATAAAGAAAAGTACACCTAAAGTGCAGTAAAGAATATATTTATTATACATAGAAAAAAACAAAAAAGAATAAAATATTAACGTAAAACGTTGAATAAAGTGATACAAATGGAATTCTGCTCCTGGTCTTTGTCTTTTTTTCATCTATATATTTGCTTTCTATTCTTTACTTTTGGGGGATTAGTTTTGGATGCGTAAATCTGTCGTTTTCGAGCACGAGTCACTCAGCTGAAAGAACGCCTTGATGAGCATGATCTTTTGTTTGACGTTTTTGCACATGTATATGGGATAAATTTGTGGATATATACTATATACACTTTTTTCATATATCTTTTTCGTTGTACATATTCTTGTTTCATATTAAATTAAATATTCATATTTTATTTTGTTTTTATAATTTATTTTTGCTTTCTTTTGTTAAAAAAACTCTCGAAATCATATTATTTAGCATTTTTGATTAGCTATTTTGTCATTCTATTGAAAAAGACATTTATTCCACAAATTTATATTTATTTATGACATTCATATATTTTATCTAATTTAATTTATTGTTTATTTTTATAATAAAAATTTATTTTTGAATTTTCATTCACCACAAACTTTATTTACCTCAAGAGTCGTGTCTTGGATAAGTACAATTTGAGAAACCGATAACGATTAGTAAACTGCTTTACCTTAGGGCGAACGGTTTCCGGACTGCTTTACACTGCTTGACTATTCACTGTACCAAAATACAAGGACTAATTAGTGTATAAACTTATTTGTATCATTTTCTATATAAAGAGTTTAAGTAAAAGGTTCAAATATAATAATTGGTGTTTGATAATGATAGTGTAATGAATTCTGTAGTGATCGTAGTGTAATGATCATAATGAACTTTGTATTAGACATACCAACAAAATAAAGTTTTTCAAAGGTTTGTGTTTGGTGAATTTAAATAATACCTCATAAAATCTCCCATAATTCTGATATTAGATATATTTTAACCTAAAATTACAGAAACAAAAGTTCTTTTAAGGTGTTTTAGGTTAAAAAGAATACAAAATCAATTCAATAACAGAAACTTAAAAAATCGTAAATTCTTTACCCTTCAAAATTAGTTTTTAATATGTGGAAAAATCGCGAGTTTGAAGATTCTATGATATTAAATTTAATGTATTATGGAAGGTAATTAAAATATTTTCCTTAATTTAAGCTTTTACCCCATTTTAAGTATTAAAACATCTGGTGAAGGATTCAAGGATCATAAAATCTCTGCATCACAGGGTGCATTGGGCAAACGGAAACACCCTGTTGCCCTTAAACTACCACCGAGGCTTTCATTGACAGGAAGGACTCTCTCAGGCACTCTCTCTCTTTGGCCAATCTGTGCTCTCCCTTTCAGCACGCTTTATACAGTTATACAGAGCGCGGCTTTTGCTTTCCACGAGCTTCGACGCTCAGTGGTTGTTTCCATTGAGAAAAAAATAACCGAAATTTGACGCGGAAATAGCCAAGTTGGCTGAATTGCCTCTCACTAAGAGCTTTTGGTTTCAGTTAGTAGACAGGCCGTGGCCAAAAAAGAACGGACAAGCACTATTTTAGTTAAAATAACATTACCCACTGTAATCGGCAGCGCGATAATAAGCAAAAAAAGAGTCCGACTCTCTCCCTGTGTGTGCGTACGTCACAGCCCGCTCGCGTGTGTACGTGTGTGAGAGTGTGCGATGGGAAAAATCAGTAAAATGTTTATGCAAATTATGCTACAAATGTGCGCCAATTGCGTAAAATCGTAAAGTGCATTAAGTATTAAGTGAAACAAAATTATATAATTAAGGAGCGGCGCCCGGAGATAAGCGAAAAGTCCGTTTTTTTGGGCAACTACAAAGGCAAAGGTTGCAGCTCCCCTTCCGCTCGCGCCTCAGTGTGAGTGTGTGTGTGTGTAGGTGTAGGTGTAGGCGGGCAAGTGTGTTGGTGTCTCGTGGCTGCCAGCTGTCAGTGTGTGTAAGTGTGTTTGTGTGTGTACGGATACGTCTGTATGTGTGCACTGTGGGTGCAACAACGTGAACGCTTCATCCCGGAAGTGATTTGTATGAGGCAAGAAAGCCCCTGAAATTTTACACCCAAGCGGAAATAGTCGGTATGTAGAGCCCATATATTTCACATCTCTGCTATTTGCAGTCCTTAGTCCTGTTGGCCATCTTTTGTTTTTGTTATTTTTATTATTGATTTTTATACATAGCAATAGACAACCTTTTGTTGAATTGGAAAATCCGAGCTTTACCATAATAATGATTCGAAACCAAATAAAATTATCCAAATACATGGAATCGGAATCCTTTTCAAATACAGTTAGTTTATGTCCTACATTATTTTATTGCCTACTTAGGGGCACCCTTAAAACTGATTTTGAATCACCTGCGATTTTTGTGGCAATACTTTTTTAATTCCGTATCCTTGCATATTAAACTATTCGAAATTTTTATATCTTCCTTCGTTTAGTATGCAATCTTTCCTTTTCGCATGTGGAGAAATTGCTTTTCATATTTCAAATTTTTACCCGTTTGATTCTGTTTTGTTTTTTTATGGATTTTTGTTGTTGTTCATATCGATTTTCAACCAAAAAACAACTGGGAAACAACATCGAACCATCCATCCGTGCGTCCTCACACACACGCCCACAATTATTTCTGGGGGAAACCACAAACAGCCACAACTACGTACGGTCACAAACAAGCACACACACATACACCTGGAAAAAGGGTTTCCCAAAATTATAAAGGACTTAAAGTAAAGATTTCCTTTCAGTGCACAGAAGTGCTGAACGAAGTTATTTAGTATTTATAAATATGGGGAAGACTCTTATGTGATTTCTAGTCAAGTATAGTCATGAAGAATACAATCCTTTATTTGAATAGGATATTCTATAGTCTAAAAACCATTTTTGAATTATAGTACAAATGAGAAAAATTGGTTTAATACTATAGATTTTAAGTTATGTCCTAAACTTTGAATGTTTTGGATTTAGAATCAAATAAGTTTGTGTTTAAAACTGTACAATAATTGTATTATATCTTAAAAAAGAATTACAAGTATTTAATGTAACAATTATTAGATACTTTTTACATTGACTCAATTTAATTGAAATTTTAATCACACTCAAAACTTTTTCATTAAGAATCTATATTTTTTACCTCGGTGTACTTTTATTCAAGAGCCATCACCTCACTCATTTAACAGTATTTATAGACAGTTTTTGTGTTTTTGTATGAAAACAAAGTTGGATTGTAAAATTTAATATGGCGGGCGGATGTGGCTTTTGAGTTTTACGAGTGCTCACCTGCTTCGAGCTTTGAGGAAAGGTGGAAGGAGCAAGAAAAGGACGCCCTGGAGGAGGTGGGTCCTCAATGGGCACTTGAGGTGTTTGCCCTGACAGTGAGGGCATTAATCAAGGATGGTACGGGTGGGGACGGGACGGGACGGGATGAGTTCGGTGGGGAAATGAAGAGGAGACACTTGAGGGTCTGAAGTTGGCCCTGCAAATGGCTAAACGTCTTCGTTATCAAATCGTCCTTTCGCACAATATTGATATACAAACAGGGCGACGGATTGCGGAGTTGAGATGATGGCAAATAATCAAAATTGATTGATGTCACTTTCTGGGTACCAAGTACATAAATATATATATGTATGTACATATATACTCAATAAATTGCAATCATATTTCTGGAGCAATGACGTCATCGCGAACCCATCGAAAAATGGTTATAAACGTGAGTTCACAAATATATATATATATATTTCTCCCGTCAATTTTCAACCCCAAGTCGTGATCCCCTGTCTTGTTGTCTGTTTTTGTCAGCTTAGTTTCTTATGGGAGCATTATAGTTTCGTATTTATAGCCCCGTTCAACCCTCAAAATGTTGTTGTTGTCAACATTGCACTGTCCTAATGAACTACTCTCAGGCGGGCTAAAGAAAAAATATAAGGAAATAAATCCATGCAACATGAAAAAAGTCGATAAAAAGCAGCAGGTCATAGTGTTTTAGGACAAGGAAGGAATGTGGCTTGGATTTTTTAAATGCGTCACCTAGCAGACTCTAAGAACAGTATAAAGCTAAGTTAGTTTATTCTGATTAAATCTTTTGCTTAAGGTATTTAAAAATACCTATTTGAATTTGAATTAATTCATGAAAAGGAAAGGAACTCAGGCTTTAGGTTTTAAGAAACCATAAAACTAAAAAGTTAAACAAGGCTAGTTCCATATTATTTAACCTAAGGATAGCAATAAATATATATTAACAATTACTAACTGAAAACTTTAGCCAATTATAATTGGTAAAAAATTCGAATACAAATTGATATGTAAATTCCAAAAGCCGCATTTGTGCAAAATATTATTTACATTTCCTTATGAAACTTGGAAACTTTTTGGCAAGGATACGAAATGCTGAACTTTCTATCAATCAAACGCAGAACCATGCAAGTTTTTCATATCCTGCAGCTCTCTTCGAGGCTAGCAAGTTGGCTTATCAATAAAAATGCCAAAATGTTTAGCTCAGTTAAGCCGAAGTGGCTTTCATCTGTCTGCGTCTAGTTTTTCATCTATGTATATCCCCACTTGGAACTTATTTCCATTTATTTTTCCTAACTCAATTGCTATCTCCATTCCCATCTCTGTATTCCCATCTTTATGTCCATCTTCTTTTCTATTTCTATTTCAAATCCAATGACATGTCCCAGCAGTCTCGCTCCCCTTTGCGCTTTTATCCTTTTTTGCAAGCAAACAATTAAGGTGTCCTCCGTCTTGGGCAATGGCAAAAACTGTCGCGTCAGATCAAAAATGCAACATCTTAAAATATGAGCACCATTTCAGCTTCCGGCGTGTTTCTGTATTCAGGGCTCCTGCTGGTTGTTGCTGTTGTTCAATATTTACAACCTGATGGCGGCGTTGAGGAGGATGCCGCCAAACTGAATAAAACATGCGGCAATCGGCAGGCGACAGTGTCCTGGCTAGAAGCATCCTGCGCTGCTGCTGATGCTCCTGCTGCTCCTGCTCCTTCTGCTTCTGCTGCAGACACGTAGACGCCTTAATGACCCGGGGGATTACCGCTGTAGACAATGTCGTGAGTCGCCCCCTAGCTTCAAGGCTCATATTCCTGCAGCCCGAAAGTTCCCTACGAAGGGGCGGTCAGGTGACCGGCTTGTCAGCCATGCAGCAACATTGTCTCATCCAATTAGTTTAATAAACGTAAACAAAAATGCTAACCATTTCTATTTGTAATTAAAAAGCTATAAGCGGCAACCAAGAAACGTGGGGGTTGATGGGCATTTAAGGGGGTTAAAGGGGAGAATGCACTGCGAGAAATGGAATAAAATATTAAGAACTTATAAAAAAATATTTAAATATCAGAGATTAAACATTTTTATAGCAATTTACAGTTCAGTCTTCTGTATTCAAATGAGGATTATATATCCAATATCTTTTTTAAACCTGGCCTAGAAAACAAACGATTTTTAAAACCAATTTTCGAACCCGATTAAAATACAAAAATATTATTATTTGCAGAGTAAGAAAAGCCTTTAAATTTACTTAAATATTATAACTTTAATTAATTTTAATATAAGTTATTGAATATAACAAGTGATTTAAAAAAAAAATTAAACACAGAACTGCTTTCTGCTGGTTTTAAATCACTTGTATGTCTATTGCTTAAAAGTGTGTTATATTTGTATTTTATTATCCTTTAAATTAATTTGAGTAACAAATTGTTGTTTTTTTTTAATAAATTGAATATAAAATAAATTAATTTATATTCAAAACACTTTATTTCTTCTGGCTTAAAATAACAAGACCTAAAAGAATATTTATTTTCCATATTATCCTTATGAATTAATTCATAGAAGATAAATTATTGCTCTGTAGCATAAGTTAATATTCAATATTTTAAGACTACAAAAAAATATGTATGAATAAATAAATAAGGAAATGTTAAAATATAGTTCTAAGTTAGGCTTCATTTTCAATTATTACCCTTATTAAAATATAACCTCAGGCATATGATTCATGTATATTTCGAGAATGAAAACAACCTGAGTTTTCACACCCCTAATTTCGCTCAGTGCACAGCTGACTTACAGTGGGGCACATGGCAAACGGAATGCGAAAAGCAACCCTGCCGAGAAAACAACAACCACCCAGTGGGGCGTGTAAGCCGCAGAGCAAGAGAGCATGAGAGAGCACTCTCCGTTCTCCGCTCTCCACTCTCCACGCTCCACTCTCCACGCTCCACGCTTAACCCCTGCGCCTGCGCCGTCCTTGCCAGCGGACAATCACAAATGTCCATTCGCAATCCTGGCTGAAGAGCAACCAGCCACCCGCATGGCTTTGTCAACAGTTCCGTTTCTGGAGGAAGAGCCTGCTCTCTTTCGGAACCGCAACCCCAGCACCCGCCTCCGCCGCTGCCGGCACTGCCGCCGCTCTCCGGAATCCTGGCTACGTTTTTAAGAATGAACCACATTCCCGTACGTCATCATTGCCTTTGATTAAAGCATATGCAAGCGTTTCTTTTTTCCGCCTCTTCCACAGTTTCTTATTTTTTGCTCTTTCAAGTCCTGGGCTGCGAACATGTGCCGCATATCCTTTGGCAGCGGCCCCGACCCTTCTCCGTCGCCTGTGGGGATATCCTTGGGCGATTTACATTGCATATGGCCAAATCGAATTGGTTTCTCGTTGCGCCAGCTTGCAATTTCTGTTCCCGTTCTGTTTTAAAGTTGAAATTTTGTTTATGCCAGCGACCGCATACATTTTAGCATATGGAATGCCTTTGCCATTGTCCTTGCGCCTGGCCATGTTTGCTGTTGTTGTTATTGTCATAGGTTTAGCCAGGATCCGGCGAAGGGCGGAGGGATTTGGGCCAGAGGGTTTCAGGCATTTGTTTAGGCAAATATTATGGGTCCCGGGAATGCCGATATAAGCCAGCACGAGCGTCGGAGCCAGGAGGAGCGGAGCTCCTTTTTTACCCATTCCCAGTGCCACCGAAATCGATTTTTTCCCCTGCCAAGCTCCGGCATTGACCAAGGAGAATTATTTTCTGGCATTCGTGCGAGAAAAAATGATTATGTGCGAAATTGGGGATT